ATTATTATTATCATTATTATCATTATTATGAGATAGTTACCTGACAGGTATCAGTTCCTCCGGCAGCGACTCCAGCGCAGATGATCTTGGGATACAGATAGCCCATGTACATAGAGCACACGTCACGGCTCAAGATGGGCAGAGACACATGACGTATTACGGAGGGCAGGTCGGCAAATGTGACGTCACCGTTCTCTGTGTAGAACAGGAAAGATTTTTACATGATGATGGCGTCGGTCGCCTGGCATAGTGGTTAGCCACCTCAGACTCGCAACCGTAAGGTTGTGGGTTCGAATCCTGTCACGTGCCCATCGTTGTGTCCTTGGGAGATTCACTTTACACGAATTGTCTACACTTCACCCAGGTGAAAGAGTGAAAGATCTTGTCAGTTTATTAGAGTTTGAGCACTTAATCGGCTGCTTGCACTGTGGGCTTACGGGGAAGCTGGGAATGTTTTTGGGTGTTCTATGGTCTGCTGGGGTAATAATAGAGTGTGTAATGCGCATATAGCTTGCTTTCGAGCGCGGTTATGTCCTATTTCGTTTTATGCATGTAGTGGCATAAAAGCAACTCTGAGAGCAATGGGGAGGAGGATGATGGCATAAGAATAAAAGACCAACAAAAAAAAAACTCATACAAGAAATACGAAAGAAAACAAGAGTGACAGATATTCCGAAATTTAAAACTGCTTCAAAAATGGAAATGTACTGGTTACATCGACAGAATGAAGGACAATAGATGGACCCTCCAAAATGTAGCATTTGGAATGGAGACCTAGTACCGGACAATGGTCTAGAGGTAGACCAGAAAGGAGGTGGCTGGAGGACATGAAAGAGAGGATGGGTACAACCTGGACACGGAAAAAAACTGATAGAGCAGAGTGGAGGTCGTTGTTGGAGGGAGACATCCTGCACGGGACGAACAACGCCTAGAAAGAAAGAAAGAAAGAAAGAAAGACAGAAAGAAAGAAAAAAAGAAAAAAAAGAAAGAAAGAAAGAACAGCTGATAGAACAGAGTGGATGTTGTAGGAGTGCTACATCCTGCAGGGGGACGAACAACGCCTAGAAAGAAGGAAAGGAAAGAAAGAAAGAAAGATAGAAAGAAAAAATGAAAGAAAGGAAGGCAGGAAGGAAGGAAGAAAGATAGAAAGAAAGAAAGAAAGAAAAAAAGAAAGAAAGGAAGGCAGGAAGGAAGGAAGAAAGAACGAAAGAAAGAAGAAAAGAAGGGAAAAAGAAGAAGAAAAAAAGAAAGAAAGAAAGAAAGAAAGAAAAAGAAAGAAAGAAAGAAAGAAAAACATTATTATTTACTGCTTTTCATTTTGGACGATATTTCTCTGCCTTAAGATTACAAAGTTGTCTCTTACATTTTTGACTGATTTGAGTAACTGAGACCCTGAGGTCAGAATCCAAATATGTTATGTCTTATGTTCTTTCTAAAACATAATACCATTTGGAATCGTTATCCAGACGTTCAGAGAATTACGACTACATTCGACAAAGTTTGACATGTTGTGAACCCCGAAAGATTAAATTTCAAATTTCTCAGATCGAGGTACTCAGCAGATACAGCTTTGTGATAGATATATCTTAATTCTTGTTCCTCCTTTTCTTTTTTCTCAGAGACACAGACAAAGAAAGGCAGGGAAAGAGAAACAGACAGAGATATAAAAAGACGGAGAGAAAGTACAAAGTTAGAGAAAGATAAAGACAACAATAAAGAGATGAGAGAGAGGGAGAGAGGGAGCAGAAGAGAGAGAGAGAGAGAGAGAGAGAGAGAGAGAGAAAGAGAGACAGACAGACAGACAGACAGACAGACAGACAGACAGACAGACAGACAGACAGATAGACAGACAGACAGACAGAGGCAGAGACAGAGACAGAAAGAAAGACAGACAGACAGACAGAGACAGAGAGAGAGACGGAGAGAGAGACACAGACAAAGAAACATACAATTATACACAGCGACACACAGACACAGGGACATATAAAAAAGAAGTAAGAAAGAAGATGGAGAGAAAAAACAAAGTCAACGAGGAGTAAAGACAGCAACAAGAATTCCTCGACTCACTCTCGTGTGTGGCACCCCATCCACTGGCCACGCACACTTGAGCATCGAACTTCTCGCCCGCTGTAGGCAGACAGATAGCTTTGGTTTTGCGAGCTGTTGTGTCCACAGATTTGGTCAGTTTGACCAGGGCAATGTCGCTGTTGGTATCTTTGCTGTAGCTGTGAGGGGAGATAAATAGATAAATCAGATAGAAAAAGAAAATACATAAATCAGATAGAAAGAGAGAGAGAGAGAATGATATATAAATAATATAATATATCATTATATTCTAGATAGATAGACAGATTTGATAGATAGATAGATAGATAGATA